CAACCCCTTTTTTAACCCCAAACCCAAACCCAAACCCAAACCCAAACCCTCTAATATTTTGATGTTTCTGGATATGACTCTGCTGACAATACATCTTCTTTGCTTATTGAGTTTTTCAACTTTCTTTATGCTTCTTATCCAATTCTTATTATTAGAATGCTCGAGATGCCGATATTTTATCTGATTCATCTATCATTCTATATTTTTTTTAAATTTTTTTTTCTTTAGTTATTATTCTTTTTCTGCTTACTAGAATTTTTGCTTCATTTACTGATACCCTTTATATTTTCAAATAAATTGTTTGTATCAATTACTCTTAGTAAACTTGCATTAAATTAGTGGTGAGAATGCCAACGTAAACTATTTTATCTCCTTCTTAGTTATACATTTGTTCCTTTCATGAATCTAGTTGCAAAATATTCTCCATCTTTATTTTAGTTGGAGCTTTAGCTTTGCATTTTTAAGATGTAGCCACATTTTATTTATTAAATAATATGCCTAGGAGTAAACGTTGGCCTTTATTGAATCAGATTTAACCATATGATGGAAAAAAAAGAATAAAAATAAATTTAGGTTTATTGGAGTCGATTATCCTAATAAATATGCTGTATTAAAATTATTATACTTAACAACTAAAAAATAATCCTCAGTCAGAATATTCATCTAAAAAAAAGTCTGATTCAATTAAAAATCACATGTTTATTTCATTTATAAGATATTACTTTTGAAAGTTTTAAGAATAAACAAGGTTTGAAAATTTATACCTTCTAGAAGCTTAATTCAGTCGAGGAGCAATAAGGATTTTTATACCCTTTATGATGGAGATACAATAATTTATTCTAAGTTATGGACTTTTATGTGAGGTGGGCCATAATATTGGCAAATTAAACAACACATATCTTAGGTAATTTTTTAGTACGTTTTTACTCCAAGAAAATAGTCCTCATATCATATTTGTTTTAGAAATTAAGCAGAATGAATTGAAAAATTCACCTTCGAATATCTATAATTATAAGTTTGGATAGTATGCTCATTAAGGAGGTTTGCAGTAAGCATTCATTAATGTATGGATATATCTGTAAGTAGATTAATATGAATTTGTTGAAAAAATTTTAGAAATGATATATTAGATTTATTGGTGTTTAACTTTAATTTCAATAAAAATATAGATTTATGAAAGTCAAAAATGATCGAAATAAGGGAGGGATATTCTTTAAAAAGAAAAAGGAATCTTTGAGGATTATAATTCTGCTAAAGTTGAGTTAGATGGGTTCTTTAACATTATGCATTCTGGAAATAGGAAATTTAAAAGGATAATAAATGAGCAAACCAATACCTTCATAAGATCGCATAATAATTGAGGGCTGAAATAAAATAGTTTAAAAAGATATTGATTTTGATATTTTCTGGTTATGGTAAAATTAAATGTAAACCAGACTTGGAATATCAGTAAAATATGCAAAATTATACACCATAAGGAAAATGTGTTAAAGTTAAACAAGGAAGATGCTTTAAATTTACAAATTACTCAGAATATTTTTAATATGTAAATGTAATTTGAGGAAATATGAGTGATAAAAATTTGAATTTCTTTAACCAAGGATGTGAAAAAAAAAAAGGAAGTTAATTGAGTAAATTGATGCTAGCCAAATAAAATATGTCCAATAAATAGAAAATAACTTTTAAAAATATGGATACTTTCCTAATTTAATCCAGATAAGAATGAAGGGGTTTATTTAGTTATTCAAGAATTAAAATGGATAAATATAAATAAGAAAGTAAATTTTAGAATAACTTAGTCTTAGATCTTAAGAAGGTGAATTTAATCCAATAAATCAACAAGTAAGTATAGAATCTTATTTCAATGAGAAAAGTATTTTGAATTATCGCACTGTCCTAAAAGATATATGGAATTAAGAGACTTTTCCAACAATCAGTTTTTGTGCAGGACAAGGATTTTTGATAGAAAAGACAATCCAAGAATTCCCAGTAATTAAAGAAAAATGTGGAATTTTCTCTACAGCTGTTCATAAATTAGAGGAATTGCTATAGAAGATGTTTCTATAGTTAGGGGGTATAAGTAATTGGTTTAGTGATCAGTGATTAATAAGCAGGGTTTGAGATGGTTTTAGGTTAAGATTCTAAAGAGTAGGATCCTATTTCATATGAGCTAAAATAGATAGTAGCCTAGATGTTCTTAAAGCAAAGAGTGTACATATGAGAAGTACTTGCAAACATATAGTATTGTTATTCAGAATATTGACTACTTAATTTATTATCTTTGAGTATTAATTTATTATTATTTCAGTTCGTTATGA